CAACATACACTCAATTCATGTTCACAGCAGCGTATATTCAATTATGTTCACAGCAACGTATATTCAATTCATGTGCATAGCAACCCACGTTCACATTCCCAGCAATACTCTTCCATGGTAAGAGCAGCACAAATTCAATTAATGTGCAGAAGCAGCTATTCAACTCATGTTCACGCAACTCACATTCACTCTCACTGCAACTCACATTCATGCTCACTGCAACTCACATTCATGCTCACTGCAACTCACATTCATGTTCATTGCAACTCACACTCATGTTCACTGCAACTCACATTCACGTTCAGAGAAACACACATTCACGTTCGGAGAAACACACATTCACGTTCAGAGAAACAAACATTCACGTTCAGAGAAACCAACATTCATGCTCAGAGAAACACATTCAATTCATGTTCACAGCAACACGCATTCAATTCATGTTCACAGCAACATGNTCATGTTCACAGCAACACGCATTCAATTCATGTTCACAGCAACACGCATTCAATTCATGTTCACAGCAACACGCATTCAATTCATGTTCACAGCAACACGCATTCAATTCATGTTCACAGCAACACGCATTCAATTCATGTTCACAGCAACACGCATTCAATTCATGTTCACAGCAACACGCATTCAATTCATGTTCACAGCAACACGCATTCAATTCATGTTCACAGCAACACGCATTCAATTCATGTTCACAGCAACACGCATTCAATTCATGTTCACAGCAACACTCATTCAATTCATGTTCACAGCAACACGCATTCAATTCATGCTCATAGCAACACACATTCAATTCATGCTTACAGCAACACACAATGCATGTTTAAAGTGATACACATTCAATTCATGTTTACAGCAATCAAAACTTATTCACACTTAATCAAAACTAATTCACAGTAAGAAACAAATTCATTCATATCAAAATGTATCTACATATGGAAATTGATATACCTGAAAAACATACTGCTGCGAAACACTGAATGATGCTATTTAAGACAACACAAGACTTATAAATCAAGACGCTAGTAATTTGAAATATGATTTACTATATATATATGAGCTAATACTCAGAAAAATACAAAACCAAGTAAATACACATTAGATTCAGACAAATTACAACATACAAAGACAAATTACAACATACGAGT